TCGGCCACCGAGCCACCCATGGGTGGCTCGGCCTTGGCCGAGCCACCTATGGGTGGCTCGGCCACCGAGCCACCCATGGGTGGCTCGGCTTTGGCCGAGCCACCTATGGGTGGCTCGGCTTAAGCCGAGCCCCCTTAGGTGTGGGTTTTCCGAGTTTTTGAGTTGTGTTCGTTTTCAGGTTTTGTCCGTGATTCGGTTGATTGAGACTCTGATTGGTTGATCTGATTTGGCAGTAAGTCGGATTCCTGATTTGGCAGTAAATCCACTTCTGAGTTCGAGTCCGAAACCGATCTTGATTCGATCGTGATTCGTCCGAGTATGCCCTTGGTTGGATGACTCGTTGACTCTTCGAACACTTGGCTTGATCCCGCACGCGAATGGACGTATTCCGTTGCTTGCGTGCGATTAGTCAATCTCGTTGCCTCGTTGGTTTGTCGGTTTGTGCCGAGCTGAGCTAAGGGACCTATAAGCAATTTTATATGCCTACAGATACCCCCTCCAAAGTATTTCAGTCTCGTTCTTTTATAGAAGAGTCTGGAATACCCACCTTCAGTCGGTGTAATGAGACCTTGGAATGATTTCCGTTCTTGATTCCTTCAATTCTCCTAGGCTATTCGGTGCTTTGTCGAATGTCTGTAAGAGTTCCGGTGCTGCATTTATTGTCTGACCGTTTGTCGGAATTTTGAACTTTGAAGTTGATTCCTGATTTTTGATCTTTAGCTCACCATCGATTGTTGGCGTCGGGTCTTTATCTGCAACGCGTTGTCCGGCGTCGTATTGTTGAGTTATCCTTAAGAAAAACATTCTCCAGGAACTTCTCAAAAAATTAGGGAACAGTTTATACTCATATACCTTATTGGAGTATTTAAGAAGCAGTTTAACCTCATGCACTGTTGGAGGATTGAGGAGCAGTTTATACTCATATACTCTTCGGAGTGTTAGTTCTTTCATTGCAACGCATTGATAGGCGTTGACCTAGGGTTACGTGTTGTCCGGCGTTGATCTTAGGGTTTTGAACGTCGCACGTTGAATTTTTGCTCGCAACGCGTTGACTGGCGTTGACCTAGGGTTACGCGTTGACCGGCGTTGACCCTAGGGTTTCAAACGTCATACGTTGAACTTTTGCTCGCAACGCGTTGACTGGCGTTGACCTAGGGTTACACGTTGACCGGCGTTAACCCTAGGGTTTTGAACGCCGTTGGATGGTGTATCAGACGTTGACTTAGGATTTTTGGCAAATCCTCAGCCTTTAACGGATTTGATTAGCCTTTACCGACTACCGTTTGAGTCGGGCTAGCATGCGGATTATTTAAGCCCGTTCTGCATGTGACGTTATGCTAAAAGAGTTAACCCTTTTAGTGCTACGATATTGAATACGTAGACTTAGTCTTTTTTCACGGGAATAGACTACCCGGCGACGCGTGTTAGGCGTTGACTTTAGGATTTTTGGCTAACCCCCAGCCTTTAACGGATTTGATTAGCCTTTACCGACTACCGTTTGAGTCGGGCTAGCATGCGGATTGTTCAAGTCCGTTCCGCATGTGACGTTAAGCTAAAAGAGTTAACCCTTTTAGTGCTACGATATTGAATACGTAGACTTCGTCTTTCTCACAGGAATAGACTACCCGGCGGCGCGTGTTAGGCGTTGACTTTGGGGTTTTTGGCTAACCCCCAGCCTTCAACGGGTTTGATTAGCCTTTACCGACTACCGTTTGAGTCGGGCTAGCATGCGGATTGTCTAAATCCGTTCCGCATGTAACGTTGTGCTAAGAGAGTGAATTCTCTGAGACTTTGTGCTATGATGTTGAATACATAGGCTTCGCCATTGTTACGGGAATAGGCTACCCGGCAACGTGTATTAGACGTTGACTTATCCCTACTTAGGCTTCGGGATGAGATACCCCAGAATCGAACTCTGGTGTCTTTTTCAATCGGTAAAAGACTAAACCGGCGACGCGTGTTAGGCGTCGGCATATCCTTTCTTAGGATTCAGGATGAAATTCCCCATGCGTGTAAGGCATGGATTTCGGTGTTATTAATAACAACCTGCCACAATGTTGAATATGCGGACGGGTATTCTTTTTAACGGTTAAGAACTAACCGGCAGCGCGGGTTAAGCGCAGACTTATCCTTGCTTAGGTTTCAGGATAGAATACCCCAGAATCAAACTCTGGTGTCTTTTTGTACGGAAAAAGACTAAACCGGCAGCGCGTGTTAGGCGCAGACTTATCCCTGCTTAGGATTCGGGATAAACTTCCTAGACTGGAATTCTAGTGTCTTCTTCAATCGGTGAAAGACTAAACCGGCAACGCGTGTTAGGCGTTGACTTATCCCTACTTAGGATTCGGGATAAAATTCCCTGTACCTGTGAGGCACAGATTTTGGGATTTGAAAAAGGTGGTGTCTTCTCTTGGGGCAAAGACGAACCCGAAATGGGAGAGGAAGAATTTTATATTCTATCTCCCGACAATGAAGAAGAAGAATTTTATATTCTATCTTCAACTGGAAAGGAGACTCGAGGTGGGATCTCCACCCCCAGAATCCGGAAAGGTGAAACTGAGAGTGGGATCTCCACTCCGAGAATCGAAAAGATTCGGATAACCTAACTGTAGGAAGGTTTGATCGCTTGATTTGTGGACCTCTCGTTCATTGGGGGAATCGAGAGGGGATTTTGACTGTGGTCCTAACTGTAAGAAGGTTTGACCAATCGGGAATTTTATGTCCAGACTCTAACAGAGAGAGTGTTGAGTGCACAGTGACACGGTGAGAATTTGAACGGGAGTTCTTATTCATTACATTGCTGTGGTTTTGGGAATTTCCCGTTACATAAATCCTCCACCCCCAGTTTCCTCTGCGGAACTGGTTCGGACATTATTATCAGTTACCTAACCGGGTTATCCTTAAGAATATTAGCTTAATATTCTCCAGAAACTTCCCGTCAACAGTAGGGAAACAGTTTAGACTCATATACCTATTGGAGTATCAGGGAGTAGTTTAACCTCTTATACCGGTCGGAGGATTAAGAAGCAGTTTATACTCATATACTCTTCGGAGTTTTTGCCGTTCTCAATTGGCTTACCTTAGCGTTATGACGCCGGCTTCAACCAAGGTCTGAATGCTATTCTTGAGAGTAAAGCAATCCTTGGTGGGATGAACGACCCTCCTGTGGTATGCACAGTACTTTGGGTCCGTAGTGTTGTCAGCTTCCTCCTGATTTGTGATAGGTGGTAGCTTGATCTTGTTACCTTCAAGGAGGGATTCGAAGATGGCTGGAACGTCTTCGTCCTTGAAAGAGTACTCTTTTTGGAGTCTCGGACCCGAAGTCTTTTGCTGCCTTCGAGATTGCTGTTGTGACGCTTGATTAGCACCACCAGCAGCTGCAGGTACCTTGCCCTTATTACGAGAGGCGAAGTTTGAGTTCAGCAGATTATCCGTCGGTTGGTTCCTCTCGGCCTTTTTTCCTTCTAAGGAATCGCTCAGCCTGCTCCCCTCGAACCTTTAGATCCTTCCAAGTGTCAGACGGTGCTGTCCCCATTGCTTCCAATACGTCTAAGGACAGATTATTATGGCAGGTCTGGAGAATGAATTCCTCGGTGATAAGGTCCCGGCAATTCATCGCTTTATTCCGGAACCTTTTGACGAAGGTGTCGACTAACTCCCCGTCCTTTTGTTTCTCGTCGAGCAACGATCCGATAGAGATCTCGGTGTCATCGTCGAAGAAATTAGCGAGGAACTTCGTCTCCATGTCGTCCCAGCTATTTACACTTCCTGGCTTGAGGCGGCGATACCAATCGAAGGCGGCTCCGCGAAGAGTGCCGACGAATGACCGCACTATCAGAGGCTCATTGCCGGAAATAATACCCAGGTGCGATTTGAAATAAATCAAATG